TGTCACTTTTATTTTGGGTTTCTACTAGAACATGTTTACATGCTTTAATGTTGAAAATAAAACAACATTGGCGCCTGTCTCTTTAAGTCCCCTCCAGAAAAAGCCCAGTCTGCTCTGATCAGCTGGCCAGAAACATATGGCGCTGCTTTGCAAAGGTAGATCTCAAGCCGTGGAGATACTCAGATGGGGGGCGGTATATTCTAACAAACCTGTGACATAAGAAGGGGAGCCAAATCTGATTGGTTAGAAGGATCACATGTTTTCTGATCTAGGCAGCCCCCAAAAAACTGTCTGTCTTTTTTTTTTATTTCTTTTTTACTGTTTCTTCAGTGCCATATTTCAACGCTTTTAGCACAAGAATGAATTCCCATTCTTTATTGTGTTGGTGTGGAGGAAGAAATCTCACATAAAGACATATTTCAGAACCGGGACACAATAAAACCCTTTTTATGGACAGACACCACCAGAGGGAAGTGACAGAAAATGTTTTTGTTGACGTGGTGGACTGGTGTATGAATGCTTCTTGTATTGACACACAATATGAATACACTTCCAAGGCGTTCACCGCGCTGTCTCTGCTTGCAACACATCCTTTTTTACTGATACATTGAGGTATTATTCTAGAGATTTTGTGTCGGTTCGTGCACTCTTTGATCTGAAGAAAATACACTACGCTATATGAGCGCGCACAGATGAAATGATGCATGTAAGGCATGGAGGAAAAGGAGAGCTGCTGACTCCACAGATTGTAGAAAGCCTTGGACGTGGTGTTTTTCTGAAGGTACATTCTGAAAGTTAGTTTTGTTGTTTCGTCCTCCTGCTTAACCGACACTGCACTCATGTATGTAAGTAAGGATGGCAAATTCATTACCGTTGTTTGGTGATTGGAAAAACACCATTAGCTCAGTTGCAGTCTTCATCACGCAGTGTGGGCAGTAGTAACGTCAGTCAATGTAGCACTTTGTCAAAATAATGAAAAGTAGCAGGAATTCCAGCCTTTGAGGAGAGCGAGCGTCTGAGTGGAGTCTGGGGTCAGTGCCGAGGCTCTCTGTGCCCTGCTGTTTCATAAATAAACTCTCTGGCCACAGTTTATCATTAGAGCTATTAACAGAGCCTGCCTGATAGATGTGGGGAGGAAAAGCCTGAGTGCGACCTTCTTGGTGTTGAAGTTGCTAAGTGGTGGAGCAGTGACAGACCGGCCCACCGAGGGGTCCGGAGACATTTCCCTCATGGGGCCCATGTTTCCTCTCCCCTGGACACACGGTTCACTCTGTTTAAGTGTTTTGTGATTAACCTGAGCCGAGCGAGGAGGGTTCTGCTCCCGCTCCATCCCTCTGTCTGTTAGCAGAGTGTCACAAAAAACATGCAAACAGATTCCAATTACATTTTGTGGAATTTTTAGACACAACCACCTTTTTAAAAAGCCAGGGTTTCCTGACCTGTAATGCAAACCACCTTTGCTAACATCATAAAAAATGAATACACCATATACATTAATTGCAGTGCAGAGGGGCCTTTTTTGCACAATGCAACTTCCACATATTTAAAAAGTTTGGTTGTTGTTTGGTCTGTCATCCATGAATCAAATTTGAAATGATATGTGCAGAATGTGGACCTGAATATGGACCTGAAAACAATTTTTTGCCTGTTTTTTCAACCTTCATCGAACAAATACCATCATTTTTTTTTTCGTATAGTGGTTTTCATGCCATTTCAAATAGTCAGTTGAGACATTTCAGAGTGTTTTACATATGGTCTTGAATTGGTTGCCAGAATCTTGTGGGTGTGGCTGATTTGAAAAAAACTGTTGCAACCACTTTTCCACATTGAGCGATCCTGGCAGATATAATAATATAGCATTTTAGATACACCAACATTAAAAATGGTTGTAACTCAGTGCTCAGCCTGCACAATTCAAGAATAACATCCCATAAAACTCATATTGCTTCTGATGACCTTCACACACTGATCCGTAACTAACGTATCGAGCAGTATCAGATTTTGTGGAGTAGAGACAGATTACATGCAGTGCAGAACATTATGACCTTTGAGTCTTTGGGACTCCCGTTAATGACACCCTGATCGAATTGACCAGCTCTAAATAAATCATGAGTGTGTTTGTTGTCTACAGGGGAAAAGAAGCCAATGAAATAAACCCGTCTGCCTTTGAAAGCAGCTGTTTTTATTGCATACATGTATTATTCAGGGTCTCCTCAACCAAGTAGACATCTGCACCGGGACAAGATATTATGACTATTCAAGAAGAATCCTCTTATCAAAAATATTCTGATGTTTCAAGCTAACACGTTGTCCCTTAAAGAAGGAGGTTGTATTTTGCAGCTTCCCTCGTAGAATAATCGTTGTCCGAAACTACAACCCTAATAGGTCGACGGCAGAGAGCCTGTCCAATCAGAATGAAGCAGAGCTGCAGTGTCGCCTGTCAGAGCGTCAGGAAGAGATCATCCACATGCAGGAGATCCTCGAAACCAAAGTTCAGCTGCTACAAGAGGTACAGACACACAAACACAAAGTCACTCCCAGGATCCATGCAGCAACTGAGAACAAGACTCAAATAATAATAATAAACAGGAACGATCCCTTTAAACAAGATGACATGCAAGATCACTGACAGACGAACTGATTTGATCTTTTTTTACTCCCGTCTGTGTTGCGTTCAGGAGGCCTCGCTGGCACGAGGTGAGGCCGAGCAGATGGCCTCGCTGGCGGACTCTGAGGGTCAGCGCTGCCTGGCTCTGGAGAGAGAGATGGTGGAGAGGATGGAGGAGGAGAGCGGAGGCTCAGGTGGACTGCTCACCCGGCAGGCCATGGCCGACAAAGACAGGTGACTTTGACCTCCTGTTGAAAACATTCATGCGGTAGTTAGTCCCAGCGTTTATTTTTTCCGGTACTATTTTCTCACTTTACAGACACAATTTATAGAGGACACAGTTTACGGATTAATCAAAAAATACCAACCCAGTCGGCAGAAAAAATGTTCGAAACCACGTTGAATGTTAAAAGAACCGGTTTCTGAGTCAAAAATATGTTTCAAATCAGCCTCATATCACACACAATCCCACGTGGGCAACGCTGTGTAATGATTGGTTGGGTTCAGGCAACAAAACGACTTCGTTAAGGTTGGAAAAAAGATAATAACATAACGTAATGTAACAACCATTACAACAAGGGGACTGAGTATCCTTGGCCCTCGTGGCGGGGGAGGGGCCAATAGAGAATGCTTATGTGCAGGCTCCAGAATTTTGTGCTACGCTCCTGGATATCGGTGCTATTTACAGCACTGTTGACACTGATACTGCCGCTGACACTGGCATTGACTGACCTCGTCTAAAACAGCCCACAACAAAGAGCCAGAGCTCTGACCTACATACTGTAACTGACCCCAACACTGGCCCGGGGTCAGATCTTTGAACTTCACTGCAGCTTGAAACTTGTTATGCTGAGTCTCTCTCTCGCTCTCTCTCGCTCTCTTTTTCTCTCTCTCTCTCAGGGTGATCGAGGAGCTGACGCAGCAGAAACGTTCGCTGGGTCTCCGGGTCGACGGGCTCGAGGTCAAAGTTCACAATCTCTCCTCTCCTCTCAAGAGGCAAGAACGAGAAGCTGAGGTATTTTTGCCCCGTCCGCACCCTGCCAAAAAATCCATGCATATGCTGAGTGGCCTCAAACACACACGTGTTCACACATCTAATGCATTCTACTGACAACTGGGCCCGTGTTTAATAACTTGTACTGAAAAGCTCCTGGTTAGGACCTTAAATCCAGGCTCTGAACGTGACCCAGTCAGGTGAGCCAGGTGCTATCTGTGTTTTGGCTCAAACCACAGACGGACAGATAGACAGACATATTGTGGCTGACAAGATCAGGCCCTGTATGGTTATGTTGTCATTAAACACCTTACTTGTTGTCAGAGCCGTACCGTAAGAAAAGCAGATTTTCGATGATGCTTTCTGTGTAACATAAGTTTACTTCTCCTTCCCCCACAGAGTCCCGGTGAGAGCCGAGCCCACACACACATGCAGGTAGGAAAAGCAGTAAACGCCCACCTTGTCACTGTGTGTCCTGGTAGTTGACTCCTCTCTCATAGTAACACATGTACTGAGTGTTTAAGCTTGTGTTGCTGGTGGTGAATGTCACCTTGTGAAGCATTAAGTTTGCCTTTATGACTCACAGACGTGAGAGAAGAGATGTAGCTCCACCTGGTGGTGTCTGATCTGCATTGCATGTATTACTGAGGCCCGCTCAGTGCTGTTTTGTTCTCGAGTGATTTCCACTTTGGCGCACTTTCTATCTTTCCTCCACATTTCTTGTGGAAATATTGTGTTTTACTCCATTTATCTAACAGCTTTTTATGAGATAAGCTTCTAAAATTGAGTCGTAGCTTGGACTCCACAGGAGGAAATGAAGTGACAATAATGTAACACTCTGAAATGAACCAGATAACTTTAATCTTTCAGCCTTGAGAACAGTTTCCTGCGAATATTTTGTTGTTTTTCCTTGAGAAAAATTGAAATACAGGTCTTTAATTTGTAACAAAATATTTTCTCCTTTTAGCGGGCTCTTTTTACGCTCAATTCCTGTATTTTTTCTTAACTTCCTTATACTTCTGTTGGCCCTGCGTTACTTATTTCACTTCCTCTGCCCTTTGTCCTTTCCCTTCTTTCCTTCCTCAACTAACCTTAAAGCAGGGCAATCCTTGAAACTGTTCATAGAAGATTTTCAAGTATTCTTTACATTTAATTTGACTTAAAAAGAAACTGTATCTCTTGTCTCTCTAGTATGCGTTTAGAATATCACCTAGCCCCAGATTTTCAGTTTGGAAAGTTGATCAAACACATTTATTATAGAATATAGGCCTACAACCACAAAACCACAAAATCAAGTAATAACAAAGAAACCGTGCACCATGTGGCCCTCATTGTATCAGTTGATATTACTTTTCAATGCACTTGATATGCCCCCCCCCCCTATAATATCAGGTCACACACAGTTTAGCCTCCGCTTTCCTCACTGACGCCAGATCTAATTCTAGTCAGCTCACTGTCTGCAGGCTTGCTCCGGCTTGCTCCGGCTTGCTCCACACAGAGGCCCCGCTTCAGGAGGCGGCCCGTGCATGCACCGGAGGAACCACTTGTTTACTCGGCACGGCAACAAGTGAGACGTTTGAGAGGAGAAAATGAGCGTGGACATCAATTCTCTGCTGTCACACTTTGGTATTTCTGCCACTCTGAAGGAAAATAAACAGCGGGCGCAGTCTGTCAGCGGTGTTTGGCACTCGTCTCTGATTAGGATTAATTGATTTTTGATTGCGTGCCTCATTCCGGCCTGATCGGTGTTTCGGTGTCGTGTCTCCAGAGGCTCTTGCAGGGTGACAGATGCAGACGCAGTCAGGGCCAGAAGAGAGTCAGTGAGACTGCGGGTGTCCACTTCCCCACACACACACACACACACACACACACACACAGGGAAACAGATCACATGTGAGAACAGTTGTATCAACAACACCTCCACCCTGCTGCGATAATGAAAGGCGGGTGATGGAGACTCGAGTATCTGTGGGGAAAAAGATCCTGAGAGTGTGTTGAAAATGATGTGAGCGTTTTAAGAGCAGAGCCCTGTTGCTCTTATTAAGGCGCCATGTGATTCGCTGATACGAGTTTCAGGGAAATGAGAGCTCACTCCCTCCTCCCTCTCATTGTGTGACATGCATGTGAAGGCCGGACGAGGCCCGGGTGCCCCTGGGAAAGGCATGAACTAATTTCACGCTGACAATTCAGAGAATTTAATGAACCCGATGGAAAACAATCAGGCCTGTTTTTTTCAGTTCACACCCTGCACACAGAGTAATACTGGCAATGAAAAATCTTTATGAAAATGTTATATTTAGTCGCACAATGTTGTGGTATTAATGATCCGTTTCTGCCCGCTGAAGTTCCTTTTCACCTCAGCTTTGGGGGGCTGAATGCAGTGGTTTTAATTAGGCAGACAGACGGAATAAACAGCACAGCGAGCAGCTGGGTGACCAATAATTATCCCACAATATGTCACAATACTGATGCTGTGCAATGTTTCATCAGGTACGAAACATCAGCATAAGAATGACATTAAATACATAACCAGTAAAACACACAATTATTCAGTGTCCAGTATTCATTACAGTGGAGTCATCATCAGCCACAGGTGACAACACTTGAACAGCACACAAAATGGAAAACAGTAAGAGAAAAATTAAATAATTAAATAGTGAAAATATAATCAATTTAAAAAGGGGGGTAAAAAGACAAAAAAATTAAAATAAAAGCTATCAGTGAAGTAAATTTCAGGTTAATAAAGATGTTCAATTAAGTATTTTTTGTATAACATCTTAAAATAAAAAAGCAAAACTGCAGTTTCAGACCTGATTTTGTTTTTACATTTCAGCATCTTAAAGACACAACCTGCAATTTAACGTCAACTTGGAGAGATTGGAAGCTCTATCTAAGCCACGTGTTCTACTGTTAGTTTACATCAGTAAAGGACACACAGCAGTTCCACAGGCCTGTAGCTATGTTGTATTAATTGAAAAACACTCAAAATGGTGTTTTAATGCTGTTGAGTATTTGATTTGACCTTAAGGAGAAATAATGAATTAAATGGAAAACATAATCAATTAAGGAACAAACAAACTAAGTGATCGAATGTTTCGCCAGAAGGAGTCCCAAATGTGTATTAAAAAGAGTCTGCATAGAGGTCTAAAGGGCTCGGCGTCCCTCCTGTTTCCAGTAAAATGGTTCAGTCCCGGCTGCAGAGGTCTCACTCTCTCAATGATGCGGGGGACCGAAAACTGAAAACTGAAATACAGACCTGAGCCTCATCATCAGTCATGTCTCAATGTTTACAATCCCTCTTGTGTTTGCAATTTAAAGCCTACATTAACAAAACCCATACATCAGCCGTCAGTTTTAACTAGAAATAATACCATTCAAATAACGATTTAAAAACATATTGGAACACAAAGAAAATTGGTCATAAAAAATTAGAAGGAGAAGATCGTATGGGTCAAAATGACAAACATAATGCATTTGGCGTCATGATTTCCTTGTGTTTCAGATATTTTTTACTTCTTTGTTTTTACCACAGTATAAAAATGTCAGTATTACCAAAACACATAGCCTACTTAATGTATCGAAATGCTTATAATGCAGAGTGGTGTCAGTGTATTAATAATAATATAACAGTTATATATACAGTATATATAAATTAAAAACTGTTATATTATTGGATTATTATTATTGATGTATAAGTCAATAAGTCAGTGAATCACTGCTCCCAGATGTGATAAATGATACAAAAGAATACGACTTATGTCTGTGGAATATTCCCAGAAATAGGATACGATAATACAATTATAACAGTCTTGGACTACAACCAGAGCCCACTTTTGCCAGACGGGACTAGTTAAAGCTGCGGAGTGAGACCTCCTCGCGATCTTTACAGGCACACGAGCTTTGGTTGCTGTCAACGTTGCCTCGTTGTCTCGTTCTGAAAGCGGCTCGAGGAGCGACAGCCTCTCCCTCCATCCTCAGCTGCTGGAGCCGAGGCCGGTGAGGAGAAAACGGATCGGGGACCCGGATGGTCTCCGGTGAACCCACAGACGCGCAAAACCGTCGACCGGGAGGGATCGTTTTATTTTCCGCGTTCGTGTCGGATCGTAACGGGGGCACGCTGCAGCAGCGGAGAGATGCTGTCATGCAGACAGACGTCATTGATTTAAAAGGCACACAATAAAAAATACTGCAGTGACATTAGCTGGGGCTCGTTACTTTCACCGGAATCACTGAGGCGGGAATAAACCCCGGATCGATGTGACATGATGTCTGCAGTGAACCATCGAGGAAGTGAAATGCAACCCAGGGCAGAGATTCATCACATCCGCTCTGCCTGCAAATCTTCTCCCTGAACTAACGCTGCTGATCACGTTGTCATGTCACCGTGATCCGACGAGATTTCTGTTTTTGAATGAGGGACAACTAGACGGATGATCCGCAAAGTGTTTATGATCAATCTGAATGCTTTATGCAGAGATTCAGGTCAACTCAAAATCTCACTTTCTGCCCATTTGATTCAAAGTTGATTAACGCTTCTAATTCATTAGAGTAGTTAAATGGATTTTATTGATGCTGTAGGCAAAATTTCAACTTCAAATTTGAGATTAAAAGTTCATTTCTGAGATGAAGCAATCTCTCACCACAAGGTAGTGGAGCTGGAGCTTTCAATCATATGACACGATTGTCCTCAGCAGAACGGAGTCTGAAATACACAAAACGCATTCAAGTTGAGCTTAAAAACACATACTTTTCATGAGGACAGCAGGTCAACACTTGACATTTGAAGGCTGAAGAGCGACAACAACATCAAAGCATCTCTGTACAAGGATGAATGAGACTTTTGTTCAAGACATATCTGGGGAAAAAAAAACTGTTGGACCACGCCTGAACTAAAGTCCAGTCAAAGGTTCTTTACTCTGAACACTTGTGATTTCATCCTTCAATCCAAAGACGGCTTTTAGACGCGACAAAAGAAATTGACTTGACTCTGAAGCGCTCCTATATTATTGGTCCTCCGTTCATTGCAACGTGCTGTTGTGATGCTGGACGTGGTGAAGATGAAGGAGGCATGCAGGATCTGCGCCCGCGAGCTCTGCGGCAACCAGCGCCGATGGATTTTCCACCCGGCGGCCAAGCTCAACCTGCAGGTGCTGCTGTCTCACGCCCTGGGCCACGAGCTGAACCGGGACGGCCGCGGGGAGTTCGCCTGCTCCAAGTGCGCCTTCATGCTGGACCGCATGTACCGCTTCGACACGGTCATCGCCCGCGTGGAGGCGTTGTCCCTGGAGCGTCTCCACAAGCTGCTGCTGGAGAAACACCGGCTGAGGCAGTGTATCGGAGGTCTGTACCGGAAGAACAACGCAGAGGATGGGAGCCTGGCTCCGCCTGGGTCCGTTGTGGTGGTCGTTGGGATTGATGCAGAGTCCGAGGACTCGCCTGTGGTGGATCTGTCAGCCCTGCAGGATGGAAGATACTCGAATATGATCCAGGATGATCTGACTTACTCGGTATATGAATCCTGGGCTGATAAGGAGGACCCGGCCCTGGACCACCACACCCATCACAACCACCACCACCAGTGCACAGGAGCAGACTCTGTCTCTGGCCAGAAGCCGAGGCGGTGCAGGGGTTGTGCGGTGCTCCGTGTTGCTGATTCCGACTACGAGGCAGTGTGTAAGGTGCCTCGCAGGGCTGGACGCAGGAGCACGTCCTGCGGTCCATCTACCCGCTACTCAACAGCCACTCTGGGAGTCGAGGATTCTGGCAGAACCTCTGAAGAGTCTGAGGCTACAGCGGTCGCCTTTGAGTCCTCTTCAACCGAGTTGGACACTGATAAGGTCATGTGTGACAGAACGAGTCCCAGCCCGGCATCGTCCGTAGAATCTCTTGACACAGCCGTGGACGTGAGTTGCCTTCCCGTGAACCACAAAGAAAGAGACGAAACTGGTCCAGAGGAGGCTCCAGCGAGAAGGGACGCTCCTTGGGACAAACCCCCGAGTGAGAGCTCCCTCTCCGGGCTCGAGATGATGCTGAGCCTCCTGAGGGGCTGGGAGTACCGGCCAGTGAAGCCCCAAAGGGGCAGCAAGCTCCCAGTTCTGAGCAAAACCAAACTGGAGCAAGGCCTGTTGCTACCCCTGCCCATCCAACTGGGGTCGCCCTTTGGAGGGCCAGCAGACTGTGAGCTGTACTCCCACCAGCCCGTACCAGAGATCGTGACCCCGTGTCCCCAGCAGGAGCTGCAGGCGGAGCTGGACGAGATGGAGGAGCAGTGGCTGGATGATTATGTTCAGTGCGGTCCATTCCGCTTTCAGCAGGTAGACTAGTGGCCACAATACCTGGTTGACCTATGACCTCACAGTAGTTGATCCTGTCGGTGTTGAATCTGTAGCTTTCATTTAGACAGGACAGTAAGACCATGGTGGGTTGCATTATGGGAAATGTAGGATCAAGGTTTTTTAAAGAATTTACCAATACAAAAGACCAAAAGTCAGGACTTCTCAGCCTCTGAGGCTTCGATTTTTATCTTTTTTTTGTCATGTCTTTTGCATTGCAAGTCCTCAAACTTTATGGAAGAGCAATACAACATTTTTTGGAGTGCCTCTTGAAAAAACGTTTCCCATTTAAATTCTGAAAGTAAGGAAAATTTGATAAAAGCAAGAACTAGCCTGGTCCCAGACCTCTGAGACACAGCCGACAAACAAAAGGGCATTTCAGTCTACTTTTCAGGCTAAAACTGAACGGCTGTGTGACGACCATGAAACCAGGTTTGAAACCTACGTAGATGTTATCCTTTTGAAATAATGCCCAGGCGGTTTTCGCTGTCTGTAAGAACTGATAAAGTACAGGAAAACAAATCTGATGAAGGGTCCGAGCATCCTCCATCCAGACTGAACGAGGTCGAATCTCACTGGGTTTTTATGTCTCGCTCATCTCCTTCGCGGAGAATGCTGAACACACCCGCTGCCTTGATTACCCTCTCGGGGAGCATAAATGCTTGTCCTTGTCGGTATCCTAGCAACACTTCCGTTGCCATGGGAACAGTCTCCAAGCACCGCAGCAGTCAGTCCGTGTGAAGGGCTCCACTCCGGCCGATCCATGTTCATAACGTCTATTGTTATGTTGATGATCAGCGTGAATGTGGCTCAGTGGGCCAGCAGCGCACACAGAGACAAGGCAGCTCTGTTACGGTCCGTCATGTTGGTTCATTGCTCTATTATACAACAATATGCCAGTCTGTACAAAAGACCTCTCACTGCTATGAATGAGGAAATTTACACTCCTGCCATTTACACACAGATAAAGGCTCCACAGCATTTAAAGATGCTGGTGACTTTAATGTCTCTAACTGCTGCCCTTTTATACCAGAGGTCTGTTTCGTGATTTAACAGAAGAGAAGACGTCTCGTGTTTTGTAAATGTAGCACACAGGTTCACCTCAGCCTGTGTAACCTGAGTGATCCCTCCTTTAATCCCGACGGAAGTGGATCGTAGCGGTCGCATTGAGAGAATTCTGTCCTAAATTTCTCACAATAATATTTCACCTTTTCAACCATTTCCTGGGTCTTTCAAAAAATATTTTTCCGTCACCGTTCTCCAGTACAGCCCTGTGTTGTTGTGGGGCTGCAATTAAAGCAGCTGTAGAAAAAGGTCCCACATACAGCCTCCCAAAGGGCACAGTGACATCACATCATTACACAGATCACAAAAACAAGGAAGTCAACAACATACTGCCACAGCAACAGCCGCTTCCACAGGAAGTCATCCAGCAGTGAGCTGACATCACTTTCCACTTTCCCTCAATCATTCACACAACAGCTGCAGGAACAACACACATAACTGTGTGTGTGTGTGTGTGTGTGTGTGTGTGTGTGTCCAACTTTTCACCACTGATTATTTGTCCCTTTGTCTTTCAGAGGCTGATTGATGAGCAGGAGAGCCAGCTCAGTCAGTATGAGAGCAACGCAGGTCAGTGTGTTGGCGAGCTGCAGAAGGCCCAGGACCAGGTCTGCTCGCTCCAAACCAAGATCAGAGAGAGTGAGACCAGGAACCAGGTACGAACACCTCACCCGTACTGTACCAACTCTGGACCAGTTCCTCGCCCATCTGAGCACGAGTCGTTCAGCTCTACAGCAACACTTTCTGTACTGAGTCTCTTGTTGTGTGTGTGTGTGTGTGTGTGTGTGTGTGTGTGTGTGTGTGTAGAAGCTGCAGGAGCGTCTCGGTGAGATGGAGTTGGAGCTGCGTTCGGCCCAAGAGGAAGCCCAGCGACAGGAGAGAAGCATCCAGAACATCACTGATGCCGTGAACTCCAAGGAGACAGAGGTAGAGAGACGTATAGACAGACAGACAGGTAGACACGTAGAGGAAAGAAATGTCAGGAAAAAGAGGCCAAGAAGCAATAGATTTAGACAGAGAAAGAAAAGACTGAACACAGCAGAGTGTCACAAGAGGAAACGCACAAAGAAAGCACAGTTTCATATTTAAACTGTGTGTGTGTTTGTGTGTGAGCAGGCTGCGGAGCTGTATCGGGTGATTGAGGAACAGAATAAGATGTTGTGTTCTCTCAAAGAGCTCGCCAACCGCAACCAGCTGCAGCAGCTGCAGGTTTGTCCTCCATGACATGACACTGAATGATACCACCATAGAGCTTCTTTATTTGTATAATATACAGGATGACACAGATTCACACCATAGCCACTGAAATAACTTGTTTCTGGTTGTCTACAATCTTTTATTAGGATGGCTTAGATGTGGTTTCAGTCGAGTATTTAACCACCATTATTCAAAGTCAAAGCTTTCCTTTCTCTTTCTCCACACATCCGTCCCCTCTCCGCCCGTGGGACCCTGCAGGTGTCTGGTGCGGACAGTATTCGCGGTCAGGGCGAGGTCCTGGCTCTGCAGGCGTCTCTCTTCCGGGCTCAGCTGGAGCTGCAGGCCGGTCAGCATGCGCAGCGGCAGGCGGGCAGGACGCAGGAGGACCTGAGCCGAGCCCTGCAGAGGCTGGACAAAGACCTGCAGGGGGCGCTGCAGCACAGGAGGGAGACGGAGAGGCACAACCAGGTGAGAGACGACGGGAGTGTGACCGCTTTGAATTGTTAGTTCTACTTGTTGGTTTGCGTCCATCTTTTTTATTTTTTTGCTAATTTCTTTTACCGAGTCTGAGACCGCCCTGCATCTTGGCTCTTTGTCGTTTACTTTGACGTGTGTGCGCGACGTTCAGGATCTGCAGCTGGCTCTGGAGACGGCTCGATCGGCCCTGCAGGAGAGAGAGGAGCAGCGGAGGGAGGCCGAGGGAGAGAGAGAGAGGCTGGACGGGGAGAGAGAGAGGACCATCAGAGAGCTGAGGACCTCCCTGCTGACCAAAGAGCAGCTGGTAGAGGTCAGACAACTGAAAACCACTATTCTCTGAGGCTTTTAGATAAACCTGCACCAGCACTTACAAACACTCACAGGATTCTCACAGCGGTCACTTTACAGAACTCTGGCATGTGAAGCATGCAAAGAATCCAAACAGAAAACGCAGACTAGATGCTCCGACAAAATTCAGCTGAAGTGACTCAATAGCTCCACAGTTGTTTCCAGAAGAATTCAGAGTTTCTGTTGATGGACTCACTTCCACTAATGTGGTATCTGTTTTCAAATTTCCCAGTAGATAGACAGAAAGGTTTAGAGGTCCACCCAGGCCCCGCTTTTTTGGACTAAATCGTCGGGCCCCACTTTTTCTATTTTTATGACGCTCAAACACACACACACACACACACACAGAGTGGTAATCTTATCCTGAACTCTTATTCTAAAATGGTGTGCGCTGACTGATTATTTTGTTTTTTTAATCAGAACTACTGTGAGCTGTTGGAGGATCCAAAGGAGAAGAGAGACTCTCTGCTTCACAAACTCCGCCAGCGCATCAGGGAGAGAGACCGAGCTCTGGAGGTAAACAACACACACACACATACACACATACACACACTAATGGTCATCTACTACATCCTGTGAGCCTCTGTGAGTTACCTGTAATTTTTGTGCTCTAAATAAAACCAAATCTGATTATAACAACAGAAAATACAAATATTCGCAACCTTTATTTAACCAGGGAAAGCCTCATTGAGATGAAAAATCCAGAAACTTTTAGTGCCCATTTTGGAAGACTCCTAGTTTTCAAAATGGACTACTCAGCGGTTTAAGGCCACACCTAACCCGTCAGGTTCAGTGATGATTGATGCTTCTTTTTCCCCCCGTCCAACCCCCAGCGAGCGGTGGACGACAAGTTCCGCAGCGTGGAGGAGAAAGAGGAGGAGACCCGCCGGCTTCAGCTGCTGCTCAGAGAGAAGGAGAGAGACCTGGAGAGGCAGCGCTGCGTCCTGTCAAACAACGAGGAGACCATCACTGTGAGAACACGCACACACACAAATCACACGTTTTCTCCCTCTCAGTCTGCCGCCACCACCTCTCATTGTTGGTCGTCTGTGTGTGTGTGTGTGTGTGTGTGTGTGTGTGTCAGAGCCTGGAGGTGCTGGTGCGTGGTAAGGCTTTGCATCTGGAGCAGGTGTGCGACGCCTGGAGGAACATCCAGCGGCAGCAGCAGGAGGGCGGAGAGAGACAGAGCAGCATCCTAAGAGAGAGAGACGGCATCATCAGCCAGCTGCAGGCGGCACTGCACGCTCGCACGCAGGAGGCCCAGGTACAGACAGGAAGTGACCTTTAAAACAATAACATATCCGTTATAATCAGATCCTCAGATTTAAATTAAATGCAGCTGCTGACGAAACATGTCTTTTTCACTGCGAATGTGGCCATAGTGTCATGTTTGTGAATTATAAGTATAGTCACAGAATTTCAAAATAAGGGCACGCTGTTATTGAAAATACCATCCGAGATTCAAGGAACCTGGATCGTATTGTCAGTAATGTGGCCATTGTGTTTGTTATTTACCTACAATTTTCCTTTAATAAATCAAAGAACCAAGACAGAGAAACAGAAGAATAATTTTAGCTGACTGACTGTGAAGCACAGGTGGGAAATTGATGATTCCATTTTCCTGCTTTATTGTCAGATTTAACATGCATTGAAAACTGTACCAAAATAGGAACACGAGCAGCTAAAAATAACGCTTCACTGTTGTCTTTTCCTGCTGTGGATTCATGTTTTTGTTCTTCTTCACTTCTCTCGGATGCAGGACCTGCGCTGCTCCATACTGGCTCAGATCCAATCGGCTCCCAGCGATGTTCTGGAGGAGCTGAAGGTCCGCCTCCAGCTCAAAGACCGCCTCTTCCAGGAAGTGCTGGCCGACCGAACCAACCAGGCCCAGGGGCACCAGGAGCAGGTCCAGGATCTCCTCAGAACCATCAGCTCCAGGGACCAGTACATTCAGGTAGAGGAGAGGAGGAGCTCAGTAGAAGCGTTCAATATAAAGTTGTACGGGGGAAAAAGTGACACCAATCTACCTCCAGGACTCTGCGGGCCGGCTCGGCGAGGTGATGACCGAGCAGACTGGGAGGCTCCAGGAGCTCCGCAGACAGCTGAGCTCAGGTGTCGGATCCAGGTCCGACTCTGGACCGGACTTGGCTGTTGAGCTCCAGGTGGTGCAGGAGGAGCTGCGTCTGGCTCTGAGGAGGGGGCAGGAGAGCCAGGAGCTGAGCAGGAATCAGGCCAGTAAGGTGGACTCCCTCAGCAGGACGCTGCATGTGAAGGAGGAGATCATCAGGGTCAGTGAGACGGATCTTTCTACATGTTTGAAATTTTGTTTTAACATACTCATACTTTATATTCTCATATAAGAAGCCAATATTCAAAACATGGCAGTACTTATCTAGCTTCCAAAGACCCTTTTTACCCAACTGGGTAAAAAGGCTAGTATTTCCCAAAATATGAGAGACTCGGACAACATTATTAGTTGAAATAAACAGAATGTAACATCCCTGTTTCTGCTGATTTAAAATGCAGCTTTCTGTCCTCTATAAACCCAATATTTTGTGTTGTGTATGTGTTGCGTATTAATGCATGTGTGTACATGTCATGGTCTTCTGTGTTTGTGTGTGTGTGTGTGTGTGTGTGTGTGTGTGTGTGTGTGTGTGTGTTCTGCAGGACTTCCAGAGGCAGATGGTGGAGCCCTCCGGTCTCCCGCTGTTAGAGCGTTTGACCCAGGAGGTCCAGGAGCTGAGGGAGAGCCTGGTCCAGCGGGACGGTACCCCGGCCAGAGGCCCCATCCTGGGCCGAGACCGGCCCAACGGCAGGCAGCCCGAGTTTGGAGGTGGGCATCAGAGAAGCATGGGACAGTATCTGTAACAGCATCGGGGAGCCGTGGCTGTGGTGTGGGGCTCTGAGTGTCCTGCCGTGGTGGTGGTGGTGGTGGTGGTGGTTGGGGGTGGTGTTCACACTGATTTCACAAGATTTAACACCTTGTGGGTGTAAATAGTACTGAATTTAATTTTTTGCACGCTTCTTAACACTTCTCAACGTTCATTTCATAATACAGTTAACTGTAGCAGCTAAAATCCCCCTTAACAAGCGGCATGATTTAGTTTGACCTCTTGAATTATTGCATTGTGTTCAATATTGACTCAAACATGACATACTTTGCATTGTTTGAGAGCAAAAAGCCTCACAGCTCCAACCATTTTAAAGGTCCAATGTGTAGGATTTAGGGGGATCTTTCAGCAGAAAGGGAATATAGTTTTCATAAAACTATATGACATACTGTATATATGTTTTCATTTGTGTATAATCACCTGAAAGTAAGAATTGATGTCTTCGTTAGCTTAGAATGAGCCCTTCATATCTACATACGGAGCAGGTGCTCTTCAGGGAGTCCGCCATGTTGCACCGCCATGTTTCTACAGTAGCCCAGAACGGACAAACCCAACACTGGCTCTACAGAGGGCCTCTCACTGCCATAGTAGTTCTCAGGCATTGGGGAAGGGAGGGGTATTCATCACTAGATATCACTACAGCCTACACACTGGTCCTTTAAGTTCCCAATATAATGCTAAAATAGTATATATATATATTATAATAAGGCAAGAAGAGGCTGACATTTTGGTTCAGTATCATTCTGACTGATCATGACTGTAATCAGTAGCTTTATTTTAGGTGCTTGTGCACAAAAAGCTTGTTGGGGGGGCAGGGGGGGTATAGTGGTGGAGCTCCTGTTCCAAAATACAACAACAATATTGAATAATACAAAATACATAAAACAATACTATAAATACTAATAACTAATTTACTGATTTTAATCAAAACTCACATCAATTAAACCCGATTGTACAATCCTCAGACTTCAATTCTGAAAACTCTTTGAATTATTTCTGTTTTAATAATTCATTTTTGTAAATAATATACACTGTTTTTGTTTAAATCATTTTGTCATTTTGGAACAAAGCTCTTCACGTTAACTCATCTGGGTTTAATCCTAAATGATGGCACGGTTTTATTTAATTGTTTTGTAAATGTTTCAGTGCAGTTTAACGTTGAAGACTGCTTTCATATTTTCTATTTTGTATGACTCAAAGCATAATTCACTCTGTTCAATGGGGCGATAAATGTGTTTACATATTTGGTTACGTATGCCAGCATATTTAACCTTGTACGTGGATGTGTGGGTGCCTTTGCACGTTCAGCAGCTTGAATGATTCTGTTTCTGAGTGCTGCAAAAAAAAAACAACAACTCACATTCTGTTTTACTGAACAATATGAAAATATAAGCACATTCCACATTGCCTTTATGTGATTATGAATATGTATACTTACTGTACAGCTATCTTTATGGAGAAAATGTTTAATGTTTTAATATAAGTTTGATTCTGTGATTTAATGAGACTCGATGTGCAATTCAACAACCATCAGTTCATCTGTGTAATTCAAAATGAACAAATATCACACAATCGAGTGTCACACTGGAGCACAGTAAGTATGAATGCTTCTTTCTTCTTATTGATCTTCCCGTAAAGCGGAAGAATGTAAAGTGTGTGTGTCTGCACATACTCCATAAACGTTTTTGCCACATCCGTTGTATTGCAGATATTATATTTTATTTATACATTTTCAAACCTTTACATGTAATTGAGCCGTTCAATAAACAAGTCTTCAGAATATATTCCATGTTTTATGACTTCCCGTCCTTACTGTAGCTCTGTCTCCACTACATGTATATTCACACTCGTATTTACACAGTAACTTTAGAACAGAGGAAGAAGATGACCCCTTCTCTGTGTGCAACACACCTCACACCAACTTCAATGTCACTTCATAGAACGTACAAAACATCCGGTTATTCCTAGTTTTCTGTTTTAATAGGGCCATATTGAGAATTTTGAAAACATTCATTTCAAATTGCCTAAGAACATTTTGACTAGTCTCCCAACCGGCATGATACTTATTCATTTCACAATTATATTTGCCCTTTCGTGATTGTCTAAAATGAAAAACATAAATTTACCACCCTGTTACTGAATATAGTAAAGCAGTTCTGACGGAGAAACAATTTCCCTCATCTTACTTGAATTTATCTTGATCTTTTTTTGCTTAAAACATATATGATAAATGTTGTAGAGAATATCTCAATAAATCAAACCAATTTAAAACAAAACAAAACACTAATTAGTGTGTAATGGTAGAACGAAAACCCACAGAAACAATACTGAGGATATGGCTTCAGTGGTTTCTACGGCCCTGAAAGTTCATATTGATATGAGACCAAATCCAAGTAGTAATGAAACATGGAGGGTAACAGTCCTGGAAACAGGATATAGCACTGAGGATGCTAATTAGAGACAGGCCTATAGTTCACTTCATCAACAGGACTTTCAAGAAAAGTCTTGGCCATGATTTAGCTCACTATTATAGCTTGGATTACCCATAATCCTGTCCGCTTTAAATATCTTCAACTTTCCAGATCCATCCCTTCTATTGGTCCATTCTGTTCCTGAAGTGACTTCACACTGAAGTTCTTAAAAACAGAACGATCCTGGTTTGGGTGAACTACGAGCTGTTCATACGTACATTCATGTACGATGTTAAATTCAGCGGCGTAGCGGAAGTTTCGTTACAAGTTACATCGTGATGAAAAGAGGAGAATGTCGGCTGATCTGGATGAGCAGCTGTTTCAGAATTATACAGATGTTTTTTTTCTCAGTGCTGACAGTGTGACACTCGGCAGAATGGTTGTGGAATTGCGCAAAGTTAACATAAACCTGAGGTTGAGTGAGATGTAAAAGAAGTTCTTGTGACGGCAGAGATCTAACACTTTCTCCTGCTTCGCGTAGAGCTGAGCTCAGAGGATGAAGACGAGGCTGATGATGATCTGAACAGCGAGTGCACTGAGAGCGTCGATGAGGAGGAGTCCAAGCTGAGGGTCCAGTCCGTGGCCAACACCAAGGTATGAATATGTTTGATGCGAACGTCTGAATGATTTTTTAATTTTTTTTAAAGCGAATGGAGGCCAAACATCCTATAATAAACTCCACATTCAGTCTGAGAAGGGGTGGATTTATCATCCCAGAAGAGTGATGGATGAGGATTTCAGTTTGAATAGTTATCTATTACGAGACATTTGTAGTTTCTGACACTTTATTTATTCATATAGAATTGTTGGAATATTACCTTGAACACAATCCTTATTTCTTTACTTGTTGTGTATTCTGAAAATTCTGACCCTTCATGTGTCTGGTTCTCATTGGATCACTGAGAAAGATTCAGCTTTCCTTCAGTTCATTTGTGTGTATTTTATCCAGTATATAGTCTGTTATTTTAACCTCTGAAACAAACAATGCATCACAATCACCAAATGCATACAGTAAATAAAGTATACTCAAAATATCTTAACATTCCCTCCGAAACTTCTTGTCAGAGGCCTCGGTGCAACAATTCAAACTAACCGAAGGCAGGAAACAGGTTGATGTCTGAGGGCTGGTGTTTTATGAGGCATGAAGCTGCTGTGAACATTGATTGTTGATCTTGGATCTCTGGTCCATTTGCACTAAAAATGATGTATTCAATATCGTAACTGTAATTTTGCTTGGCTGTGCTCGTTTAGTGAGTTGCACCTCGGGGGGCTCGTAGCGTATTATTCAGAAACCGTTCTGACTGTCAACAGGGTTCTGGAGGTACAAGAAAGCCTCCGCCCCAGGACCTGTTGTTTGAAGGCCAGGGACTGACGGAGGTCAAGCAGCTGGTGGAGCAGAAGAGGGCGGTGGAGAGAGAGCTGGGAGAGCTGAAGGCTCAACTGGAGAAGGCCGGCTTCTCCTCACTTTCACAGATGAGGTAAGACGATGACGATAAGGCTGAATGGATCCTACGAACAAGTATTGTTTGTATCCGTCCATTAAAAGCACATCAACGGGCAACACTGTAGCACTGGGTAACATGTTCCTTCATCACCAACACACACTTTAGTTGCTCACTAGAGCAAAAAAGAGAGAAAATAGTCCCCGACAAAATTCCCGTGATTCAGATCCACTCCAAAATTGAATGGGATCTCCCATGGCCCATGCCACACCCTTCCACCAAGTTTCACAAAAATCGAGCCAGCAGATTTTCCGCAATCCTGCAGACAGACAAACAAACACACAGAACCGGATACATCATCTCCATGGCGGAGGTAATTACGCCACACTTATCTATTAAACCTGTTTCTAACCCTCCATCTCTCTCTCTGCCCGCTTTGAAGGAAAGCTCTGTTCAGCCTGCAGGCAGAGAACGGAGATTTGAGGCATCAGCTGAGTGAAGGCCCGCAGCCCGACAGTAAACAGAGTGATGAGCAGGAGGTGTTGGAGGAGGAGTTGGATGTGACCATAGAAGGGACGGAGGAGGATGAAGAGGAGGAGGAAAGCTCTGAGATGTGGGACACTTGGGACAGCGAGCCGTCTCTGTCGCAGACCAACATCCAGACCAGTGATGAGCAGAGAGCCAACAGACCCGAGTCACTGCACCTGCTCGCCAACTCCTCACAGGTACGGGGGGGGGCTGCTTCATAGAACAGGCAGGTCCTCGCTCCCCACAGGACAACAACTGTCCATGCGTATAAAGCCCATCTAACAAAAGTGTTTTCTTTGTGTCTTTTCCTGTTTGTCGTCCAGGATGTCCTGGACAGCGAGCTGCCTGCCGGTCAGCCGCAGGGCGCCGTGTCCTCTGTGACGCCCGAGAAGAAGGTCCGTCTGCAGCAGAAGAGCAAAGAGCTGCAGGAGAGACTGATGGTGTCTGAAGCCACAGTGCATGCTCAGGCCGAGCAGCTCAAAGACTACAGGGAGCTGTTCAGTGAGTGGACAGACGGATGGCTTGAACTTGAAGTGTTATGTGTTGTGTCAGTCATTTGTTATCGCTCCATACATCTGTTGAGGAAAATAAGCAAAATGAACATAGCAGTTATACAAAAAATAGAGATGGATGCCAGTGACGTCGACGGCAAACACACTGGTGTAAAGCTGCATCTCCTCCTTCTTCTGTGTCTCTGCAGCGGAGACGGCAGTGCAGCAGGACAGTAAGCAGATCCAGGTGGACCTGCAGGACATGGGCTACGAGACCTGCGGCCGCAGTGAGAATGAGGCCGAGAGGGAAGACACCAGCAGCCCAGGTACGTCTGACTGCTGGAGACTCCCTACAGGAGGGCCAGTGGACTGTTTGAATGTCTCCGGGGACTCCGTTTCAAATTGACTTTGCACAGAGAAACATACAAAATCAATAGTAGTAGTAGCATCATACAAACACTAGAGGGAAGCAAAGGAGAGTGACAGTGGAATGTAGCGTCTGTGCATGAACATCTTTAGAGGTTTATACATACTTTCCTTTAAACATCTAGTCAAAAACACACCCTTTGAAACAGTTTAATAGTTTTGCTTAATGCTGCTGTTTCCTGACAGAGTTTGATGACCTGGAGATGTGCACGTCTCTGGACTGCGGCTCCCAGTGGTGGCCTGCCGGCAGTAGCGGTGGCGGCGGCGGCTCCACCTTCACTAAAACCACCACCCAGAGCTCCGGAGACGAGACGTCATCTCTCCAGCGCCTCGTCGAGGACCTTCGCTCCCAGCTGTCCCGCTCTCAGGGAGTGATCCGCGGGCTTCAGAGCCGGCTTCGGTCCCTCTCCACCTCCAGCGACTGCGGGCCCTCCACACCTCGCAAGGTCAACTGGTCCTTCCAGGCCTCACCCTCCCAGAGCGGGGCGGAGGAGGACGAGGGCTGGCAGTCATCCGACGGAGGCCCTCTGGCTTCGCCCCGACACCCTCACCCGGACAAGGGCCTGCGGGAGCTGGTGTCCCGCGTGGACGCACTGGAGGACCAGCTGAGGAAAGGAGGGAAAAAGTCTGTCAGAGAGGACTTAAAGTCTGCCACCTGGCCGGGGTGAGTGACGGGACACTACAATTTGTAAAAAAGGAGATAAGTTCCATATTTTTGATTAAAGGGGACATATTATGAAAAACTATCAACAAACAAACATGCAAAAATATTTGTATGATCCTTTGATTAAGATCCTATAAAATGTATCTATAACATGAATAACTGTTTACTAGTTCCTGTCAGCCTCTCCCTGATGCAGCGCAGTCTGTGCAGTGATCCATTAATCACTGCAGGCACCAAGTGTCCTGTCAGTATCAGTCCATGTTAATCAAGCGTAACCACAGATGTTTTTATGTAAACTCAGCTGCCTGACAGTCAGAGGGGATTAACTGGCACGAGAATGGGAACCCATTTGCCATGTGAGACCAAACTGTAGCTACAGTGAAGCTTTGGTGCTTTTTTTAAGGGCTGATTCGGGTCCCCCTGTTAATACATACGTCTATATATTTATACATATACTGTATATACAAATACCAAAACATTTACAATTTAGGGAAAAGCTATTGAACCGGTTACAGGAACTCAACTTTAGAGCGTTATCATTGTTGAGAAAAATGTCACAAAACTACATTTAAAAAGGGCCGAGTGACATCTAGTATCAAAAAGTATAATTCATTTTTATTTCCAAGCCCATTAAACCCTGTTGTGATGTCTTTACATTTGGACATTGCCTCACAAATGGCACATTGTAGCTACAGTATCTTCAGACAGGACGACAAACTAACTAAACTAGACAAAAGAAAACATTTTTTAATAATCCTTGGAATTGGAATTATTTTTATTTTAATTTTTTTTAAGTCTAAAATGAAGATGCTTTCTAATGACACTGTGCTGACTGAAGCAGTACAGGATTTAAATAGTCTATTATGACAAAAATGGAATTGTATTAAAATATCAAAATATGCAACTCTCATTTTGGTTCTTCTCTTTCCGTAGTAAATTCGACACTCTGATCCAGGCTCAGGCCAGAGAGCTGTCTCACCTCCGCCAGCGACTGAGGGAGGGCCGGGGCGTGTGCAACATCCTCACCCAGCACCTGGGAGACACCACCAAGGCCTTCGAGGAGCTGCTGAGGGCCAACGACATCGACTACTACATGGGCCAGAGCTTCAGGGACCAGCTGGCTCAGAGCGGCGCTCTGGCGCAGCGGGTCAGCGCAAAGATCAGCGGACGTGAGTGGTTCACTTCATGTAACGGACATGCTGAGATATAATTAGATATGGGAACACAAAGGATGTTATCGTATCTCCAACAGGAGATCATCCTGAAGATCCAGATGAGAAGACAGAGCTGCTCGCCATCCGGTCAGTGAACACATACTCATCAGTGTGTGTGTGTGTGTGTGTGTGTGTGTGTGTGTGTGTGTGTGTGTG